CGAGTGCATACACATTCGCTTGGCGCAGCTCAGAGGCAAACCAGCTGACTCAGGTGGCAGGCTGGGGAATAGCCAGAGGAGAGTAGAGGGGAGCTTGTCGGGAAGGGCCAGATGACAAGTTCCAGAAGACCATGGATGAGGTGTGGGCAGGGAGCACTCTCCTACAACAGTTGCGTGGTTCTCCCTGCAGCTTCAGATCCTTGCACACTCCTTCCTTGGCCCCATAAACTTGCAGGATTTCACCACTGACTCCCTTCTGGCACTAGCCAATATGGCCATCCATCACCCCAGGAGAAAGCAGATGAAAGGAACAAGAGGCAAGTCTGCCCTCATCTCCTGGAACGTACACACGCTAGACAGCTCCATGTGGTCTACCTAGTCCTTATAACCACAGACCAGAAGATCTCCACGTCTAGTGGTACCAGCCAGGACCCACCTCTGACATACATACCAAAGAGCATTCCACCACTTGCATATAAATATGGAAGCTATGTAGCAGGGGTTCCATGAAGAGGTTCCCCTCTCAGCAGCTATTGTGGACCTGGTCACTGAAACTAGCTTCCATATCCTGATAAAAGATCAGCAGGTGAAATCTCTCGAGTGGAGATAACAGAACTGCTGGTCATGTTGGAGCTCTTAGAGGTGGTGGAAGATGACATATGCTGGTTTATCTGCACTGCAAAGGAGTCTCTGCAAGACCTGGAGGTGAAAGGTAAGGACCTGGCTGTGGAGGAAGACCAGCTCCTGGCCACTGGCCCTGAGTTTAACAGACCTGCTTACTCAGCAATATACAAGATCCCCAATTCTGCAACTTCCTGGACATCTCTGCCCCATGCAAGGCACAGTGAATTGCAATGGGGTGCCATGTTCAACAAGTTGAAGGAGCCACCCTTTACAATCTAGTGTAGCCGGGGATGAGATAAGAGACAAAGCATGATCTCTTGCAGATGTGCAGACCAATGTTCTTCTTATGTTCTTACAACTTCTAAATTTTAATGTGGATTCAATGTTAAGTCCTTGCACTAAATCTCCATTTTTAAGAGAAAAGGCTTTGGCAAAATGATTACTTTACATGGCCTTAACCAGCTGAAGTTGTGCAGAGCACCACCAGCATTATAGGACCCTTAAAAAAAATCATACAAATTGTCCTCTTGCAGATGCATAGACCAGTGTTATTGCTTCATTGTTGTCTAAGTTTAAACATGGGAAAAGACTGTCAACAGAATACAAGTATCATAAGTATTCTGCACTGATTAGGTCTCAGTTCGAGTACTGTGTGAAGTTCTGATATTCTGCACTGATTAGGTCTCAGTTGGAGTACTGTGTGAAGTTCTGAGCACCACCCTTCAAGAAAGATGTGGAGAAACTGGAGAAGGTCCAGAGAAGAGCAACAAAAATGATTAATGGTCTAGAAAACATGACCTATGAAAGAAGACTGAAAAGAACTGGGTTTGTTTAGTTTAGAAAAGAGAACACTGTGAGGGGACAGGATAGCAGTTTTCAAGTCTCTAAAAAGGTGTTAACAAGGAGGAAGAAGAAAAATTGTTCTCCTTGACTTCTGATGATAGGACAAGCAGCAGTGGGCTTAAATTGCAGTGAGGAAGGTTTAGTTTGGACATTAGGAAACACTTCCTAGCTGTCAGGGTGGTAAAACACTGGAATAAATTGTTTAAGGAGGTTGTGGGATCTCCATCACTGGAGATATTTAAGAGCAGGTTGGATAGACATCTATCAGGGATGATCTAGATCAGCGTTTCCCAAAGTATGGTCCACGGCCCAATACCGGTCCTTAGAAAAAAAATACCGGTCCTTAAAAAAATTCACACACAATCCTATTAATTTGTGTGACGGGGTAGTAGCACCCCGCACTACCGAGTACGGCGGCGTAGCCCTCTTGGGAGAGAGCCCACAGCTGCGGCATCTCTGCCGGGCATGCTCCCGGGCGGCAGGGCAAGATCCGGCGGGCACTAGGATCCAGGGAGAAGGCCAGGCACCATGCACACCGACACAGAATGCCTGGCACCGGACGCAGCCAGGGGAGCTGATGCCGACCAATAAAGTGCCCGGGATTGGGGCCGGGAGGGGGGAGGGTAGAACAACCCACCAGGCGCCATGCGCACTGACACCGAACACCCAGCACCGGACGCCGCTTTGGAGCCAGCAAAGGCTGATAAAACGACTGGGATTGGGGCTAGGAGTGGGGGCAGAACAACCCGCCAAACAGGTAGGGCCAGCGACACCATTTATTTGCGTATTCATCATTTGCTTAATGAATATGCAAATATGCAAATAAATGTTACTGGTCCTCCAAAAGCTTGTGAATGGGTTTATTGGTCCCCAGTATCAAAAAGCTTGGGAACCACTGATCTAGATGGTACTTGGTCCTGCCATGAGGGCAGGGGACTGGACTTGAAGACCTCTTGAGGCCCCTTCCAGTTCTAGTATTCTATGATTCTATAATCTTGGAGTGATCATAATCCAAAACTGAGGCACTATTGTGACATTACTATTTGTGATCATGGAGTAGTCACACAGAAGGCTAACGTATACTTCTGTTTAAAAATGTGTGTGGTGTCAGCACTGCCAGCTTCCAACTCCACAGCAACACATGGATATTTCTTGGACTGGAAAATAACAGTAAGCTGCCATCTAAACTAGTTTATAAATAAATAGTGAACAAGTGTTAACATTTACTTTGAGCAAAAAATAGCACTGATAGTCTGTAATCAGCTGACTTCTATCTTCATTCCAAATCCTGCTCATAATCAAAAATGCTCATTTCATCAGTTTGTAGCAATGTCCACGTGTAGTCAACTACACGATTAATCAATAAGCCTGTATTATCAGGCGGCAGCAGATGCATGTAGCCTACAGCATTAACGTATAAGCTTTTGCTTGTCAGTTAATTGGTTAATCAACTATACTTTTACATCCCTACATTGAACTCCTCATTTTTGGCCTCACCCTAGAGCCTAGGAGTCCCACAAAATCCACTAGCCCTGGAACCCCAGAATTGTTAATCTTGCCTGAGGCCTTGAATCTCAGGTCTCCCTCTTCCTCCAGGGCTAGAGCACCAGGGAAGTGAGGTGTTTCAGTTGGGGGCCACATCATTGAGGGTTGAAGGGCTTTTGGAGGGGCTTTTTTTCCTTCTCACTTGTGTGGTACCCAACTGATTTTTCTATGGATCAGTGGCCCATGACCCAAAAAAGGTTCCCCAGCCCTGCTATTAATCAAGACAATGTTGAAACCTTTTTGTGTTGGACAAAATATTTTACTTTATTTAAAAATGAAGCCTGGTCTACAAGCCCCCATTTGGGGCCCAGCAGGCATCGGGCCACAGAAAGGGCGGGGGCGGCATGGATAGAAGGAGAGGCCACAATCCAGCTGCAGCTGACTGAGGGGGGTTGGTGAGCTTAGAGAGCAGGAGGGCACAGACTCCTAGTGTATGTAAAATAAATATCTTAACTGGTTAATGCACTACAAAGTCAACTTCCATGCCCTTTGATATTCACATTTCCACATGATATGCTATGAACTAGACACATCCAGCCTGACTTAGCTTCATTAACACTGGTCCTACAATTCATAGATAACTCCTTTTGCTGTTGTATATACCCTAGATTCTGTAATTTCCACTCCAATTTAACTGATTAAGTGGATTTAGCTCATGACCTAATAAATTTGTTAATCTTTAAGGACACATCTATAATTAACAGACGATTGACATGCCAGAGGTTGATCTTCTGATGTTCGATTTAGCAGGTATAGTATAAACTCCTAAACTGAACTCTGAAGGCAATCCCTGCGAGCTGCAAGGAGTAAGGGAAGCTGATGGGAGCATTTGCTCCCGTCAGCCTCCCATTACGTGGACACAGCCAAGGCGCATCTTAAGGTAAGCCAACTCCAGCTACAAGTATTGCATAGCTGGAGTTGCATACCTTAAACTGCCCTTCGTGGCCTAAGGTGCCACAGGATTCCTCATTGTTTTTAAAGTTACAGACTAATATGGCTGCCCCTCTGAGATAGTATGTAGACTTTTATTCCACATCTGATTATTGTGGTGTTTCTTGCACCCCCTCTGCCTCCCGTACTGCCATTGCTAGAGGATTTTAAGAACCGTGGATCTGACACACTATAGCAATGACTATATTGAGCAAATTATCATTAAGAAGTGTG